GCTGGAATCGTCAGATGCGTCCTTGCGTCGTCTTCCCAACCAGCTGTCATCGTCCTGAACGGTACTTCCGTCAAAAGTCGCGGAAACTCACCTAAGCACATCCACTACACGCTACTATTCATGCAAATCCCAGTCCTTTCGCCTGCGCGATGCATCGTCGTCCTAGTCGCATATGCAGTGTCGTCACGATTGCCGGTACAAAGCGAGAAACGCCGCTCAAAAGCCTCGCAAAATAAATAAATAAAAACATCCGTGATGTACCCCCTAGTGACTCTAGTGTTGCGGCTGCGAGATTCAAAAGGCAGTCCTTGCGCCTGCGCGATGCATCATCATCCTGCTGACAAAGCGTGGCCAGCCGTTCTCGTGTCACTGCCACCGACTGCTTCGAAGAACAACACAAACTTGGCGGCACTCTGCACTGACGAGCAGTGACTAGCACAGTCCGAGACATCCAAGGCATGTTGAGGAAGCAACTCTTCATATGAAGCGGCCGCCCAACTTCGAAACGAAGACTACATCACAGGTTGCACAAGCTCCAGTCCTTGGGCCAGCGCCATCCGTCATCGTCCTGGTCGACAGGGTGCAACGAACACGGAACGATGTCTGAATAGCATCGAACTGTTGCAACGAGAACGCACACGCCTGCCGCGAGCCTGAAAACTCTTGACCGATTCTTCAGGTCGTGGCAATATCCACAACAACTCGAAAATGCATATTACTGTGCAGCAGACAGCGATGCACACAGCGAAAGAAAACTGTCAGATGCCCGTCCCTGCATACCCTTGCGAACCAGATGTCATCGTCCCTCCCGATACAGGATGGAAATGCTGCGGAAGTTCCCCTAGTGTACTGTAGCCGCTTTCGGTTCGAAAGCCAGTCACACCAAATTTCACGAAAGCTCCAGTCCTTGCGCCTGCGCGAGGCATCATCGTCCTGCTGACAAAGTGTGGCCAGCCGTTCTTGCGTCACTGCGACCGACTACGTGATGTAGCACCCCAAACCGTTGTTGTAGCGGCTGAAGGCAAACACGTGTCTGGAACGTGGTCAGTGGCCCTGAAATACTCTGTTTTTTGTTCCCCTGCGTCCCCTCTATGGCGTACATTCATCTGGGAATCCCAGTCGGAATTTATTGGTGTCCCCGGTGACCTATCGTCTTGGTGTCGGGGTGCGTTGGCTATCCTGATCCTCCTGATCCACTCCCACGGTGTCTCGGCGTGGTCGTGTCCCAGTGCATTGGTCTTCCACTTTTCTCGCACTGCGTCTCGCTGTCGCCCCGGTCCTCGCATGCCATGCGGATTACAAGGTCACCCACGTTGTTCAGAGATACTGTGGCGTTGGTGCTTTGCTGTCCCTGGCGTCGGTGTCCTGTGAGTGCTGTCGAAAGCGCTCCCATGTCTCTGTCTCAGAGAAACACTTCTCGTGGTGTCTGGGCTCGCTGTGTGGTCTGGGTGCCCGTGTGTTCCCTTCTCCCCTTGTTCCAACGCTGCACTACATCTACATCTTCGAAACGAAGAACCTTCAGCAAATTAATTGAATTTTGAATTCGTGCGCTTACGAAACGGGTTCGTTGTACGGCATTGAACCGCGTACGCTGCGGAAACAATGCTGTTGCTGTTGCCGTCTCTCTCAGCATCACGCAGCAGCTACACTGCCAGCTGGAATCGTCAGATGCATCCTTGCGTCGTCTTCCCAACCAGCTGTCGTCGTCCTGAACGGTACGTACGGGAAGGGACACGTCGCAGAAACTCACAGAAGCACATCCACGACACGCTATTCATTCATGCAATGTCCAGTCCTTTCGCCTGCGCGATGCATCATCGTCCTAGTGGCACATGATCTCCAGGAACATGTCGTGAAGATTGTGGCCAACAAGCACTACACCTTCCTGCGCAACTTATCAGTTGCCTGAGAGCAGAAATCCAGCATCAGACAGCACTTGCCACTGAAAAGAAACACCACATAGCGCACACGCGAAGGTCCTTCCGACGGCGACCACCATCGTCGTCATCGCCCTCATTCAACTTTCCAAAAAATCCAAAGAACAAGCTGCACCGACAAATGGATCAACAACGGCTCCAGTCCTTGCGCCTCCGCGATCCATCATCGTCCTCGTCAAATGAACGTGCACTCGACACAACTATCTCGGAACAAAGTCAGCAGCAAAATGCCATTGTCAGCGTTTCATCACGTGCACATTTCACATCCACCCATGCTCGCGCAGCCTCAACTCACCCAAACCAGCTTTTCAGTACGGTCCTTGCGTCTGCGTCCGCCATCGTCGTCCTGATCAATCCACTTATGGAGGTAATCATCACGGGCGAACCCCGGAATATGCCAACAATCTGGAAGATACCAGAACAACCGTATGGTTGTAGTCCTTGCGCCGGCGCACTCCATCATCGTCCTGCTGGTTTCGAGACCCCAGTTTGCATAGCTGCAATATCACCAAAGCGAAGCGGCAAAACCCGATGGCACGGGGTGCAACAGGCACAAGCAGCAGGAACATGATGGCAGCAGCAACACCACGGCACAACCCAAAAGCCGGCACACTATCTTTCGTAGTAGAGCACCCGCAATGTCATCTCATAGAGAGGCACGCGTCCGCCATCATCCTCATCGCCCTCAGCCATGCGTTTGGTCGTGTTTCCAAAACCAGGCAGCTGCACCCGTCCAGTCCTTGCGCCTCCGCGATGCATCATCGTCCTCGCCATGTTTGATTGGCACACGGCAGACCTACCTCCGACCCAGTTCAACAGCGAAGTACGAATGTCAGCACTCTCACGCAATTCGTGCACAACCACCCAAGCACAATACCCCAACTTACCAGAGGTGAAGTCGGCTACTAGCAGCCAGCTTGGCTGCATCACAGCACTTCCACAGCAAAGACATGAGCATGCTCCAAAGCCTTGGAAGACTTCATGTCATTGTGACAGTCCTTCCGACGGCGACCGCCATCGTCGTCATCGCCCTCATCCATGCGTTTGGTCGTGTTTCTAAAACCAGGCAGCTGCACCCGCAAACAGCGCAACAACAGCTCCAGTCCTTGCGCCTCCGCGATCCATCATCGTCCTCGTCATGTTTGATTGGCACACGACAGACCTACCTCCGACCCAGTTCAACAGCGAAGTACAAATGTCAGCACTCTCACGCAATTCGTGCACAACCACCCGAGCACAATACCCCAACTTACCAGAAGTCGGCTACTAGCAGCCAGCTTGGCCGCATCACAGCACTTCCACAGCAAAGACATGAGCATGCTCCAAAGCCTTGGAAGACTTCATGTCATTGTGACAGTCCTTCCGACGGCGACCGCCATCGTCGTCATCGCCCTCATCCATGCGTTTGGTCGTGTTTCTAAAACCAGGCAGCTGCACAGGCAAACAGCTCAACAACAGCTCCAGTCCTTGCGCCTCCGCGATCCATCATCGTCCTCGTCACAATTGATGGGCCATACCTTCGACCCTGTTCAGCAGCAAAGCACGCATCACAGCGCTGACCTCCAAATCATGCACAACCACCAAGGCTCAAAACCACCCAAGCTCAATCCCTCAACCCGAAACAGTTGTTGTGAAAATCCAGCTGGTAGCAACCAGAGAATTGAACACGACCCAAGCCCCTTGGGAAGACTTCATGTTGACTGTGAGAGCCCTTGCGACGGCGTCTGCGATCGTCGCCATCGCTCTCGTCGCAATTTCCCGCTTATGCTGGATGAGCGTCAAGAACAAGGTGTACCGACAGATACATCAACAACGGCTCCAGTCCTTGCGCCTCCGCGATCCATCATCATCCTCCCAGTCGCAGAGAGAACAACCACAGCAGATGGATCGAGGAACACATTCGAGGCAATAATATCGATTCCTGTGCACTGCTGAGATCGGCGAGTCTCCAGGTGTCCCCCGATGAACGATTATGAGAAGTGGATGGAGGTAGATTCTCAGAAAGTCATAGTTCACGAGCAATCGCATTGCACGGATCGTATGCTTCAGGAATCAGGCAAAGATTCGAGGTCTGGAACACTTGGAGAGCTTCTGATCAAGTCGCCTCGTATACATTTAATGAAGAATTTGCAACATCCTGGACACGAGCGGTATGGAGAGTATGTTGCCTATGGCCCTGTCCACCGTCCCTCCTCTCCGTTTATTCAATAGAGGAAACAGAATGTGTTAACAGCGCATCTCTTTGACCTTCTCGCAGGCTTCCAAGCAGTCAGCACACCTCTACAAATCGTGTCGGTGTCCTTCTTCTTGTCGTCATCCTTCTTTCTGTCGTCGTCCTGCAAGCAATTACAAATACAAGCTACTACGGAAGAACTGCTGTGTATTTAAATCCCACCGTCAACAACATCAGTTAACGGGTAGGTAGGTAGAGTTCGACCTGCAGCAGTAGCCGCGGTCTCCGCCACCCTTCCCCGCCCAGCATCTCAGGGGGCTTCTGTAAACGTCATCAGCTCCCTCCGCGTGAGGTTCCCGAGGGGGTCATTTAGGATCGTGCGCCACCGGAGAGAGTAGTAGGCGAGCCCTGTGTGGCTCGGAAAGAAAGGGTGTGCGTAAAACCCACCAGAAGTGGCCCGAGTCAGGGTAGCCAGCCCGGAATAGGAGCTTTGGGCCGGGAGTTAACAGAAAGTTGACTGTCAGGACAAGGGCCTTCACACAAAAAGCTGTGGAAACGCTCCGGACGCGTACTTACAAGCCACTACAAGCTGCCGTAGCTGTCAGCCTAGCTCTTTCTATGAATAACATCAGGCGTCACATCGGTGTTAAGTGGTCAGGAGACAGCACCAAGGGCCTCCACCTTTTCGCAGACAGCCAAGATTCCACAAGCTGTCCTTTTTCTTGTCATCATCTTTCTTCCTGTCATCGTCCTTCATTGATGGAACTCTTTATGGACATACTTCTCCAGGTTTCGCAAACGCTTCACATAGTCAGACAAGAGCACAACTTTGACTAGCAGGGCTAGCAGACTAGCATGGCCTAGGCATCTGCAAACTTCCACAAGCAGTCCTTCTTCTTGTCATCATCTTTCTTCTTGTCATCGTCCTGCATTGTGAGAACATTCTCTTGACACAGTCGTCAGGCTTCGCATGAGTTTTTCGCACTTCCGAACCGCGCGAAACTCAGAATCGAGCTGAATGGAAGGACAAGGGCCTTCATACAGACTGCCAAGCTTGCACAAGCTGTCCTTTTTCTTGTCATCATCTTTCTTCCTGTCATCGTCCTGCATTGATGGAACTCTCTGTGGAAACACATCTCCAGGTTTCGCACAAGCTTCACATAGTCAGACAAGAGCAAACTTTGAGTACCAGGACTAGCAGACCAGCATGCCCTAGGCTTTTGCAAACTTACACAGGCAGTCCTTCTTCTTGTCGTCATCTTTCTTCCTGTCATCGTCCTGCGTTGCGCGCGAACATTCCGTTGGCACAGTCGCCAGGCTTGGCACACCAAGAACTAGGCAGGAGTCACATTCAAGCTGACTGGACGGACAAGGGCCTTCATACAGACACCAAGCTTGCACAAGCTGTCCTTCTTCTTGTCGTCATCTTTCTTAATGTCATCGTCCTGCATTGTGCGAACATGCCCGTGACACAGTCGTCAGGAATCGCATGAGTCTCTAACGCATTCGAACTATGCAGGACTCAGAATCAAGCTGACTGGACGGACAAGGGCCTCCATACAGACAGCCAAGCTTGCACAAGCTGTCCTTTTTCTTGTCATCATCTTTCTTCCTGTCATCGTCCTTCATTAATGGAATTCTTTAAGGACATACGTCTCCAGGTTGCGCAAACGCCTCAGGTAGTCAGACAAAAGCACAACTTTGACAACCAGAACTAGCAGACTTGCATGCCCTGGGCATTTGCAAACTTTCACAAGCAGTCCTTCTTTTTGTCGTCATCTTTCTTCCTGTCATCGTCCTGCATTGCGCGAACATTCCCTTGACACACTCGCGTCAGGCTTCGCATGAGTTTTTCGGACTTCCGAACCGCGCAGGACTCAGAATCAAGCGCAGCCCTCATGCCGACAGCCAAACTAGCACAAGCTGTCCTTCTTCTTGTCATCATCTTTCTTCCTGTCATCGTCCTTTATTGATGGAACTCTCTGTGGACACACGTCTCCAGGTTTGGCAAAAGCTTCACATAGTCAGACAAGATCACAACTTTGACTAGCACGACTAACAGATTAGCATGCCCTAGGCTTTTGCAAACTTGCACAAGCAGTCCTTCTTCTTGTCATCATCTTTCTTCCTGTCATCGTCCTGGATTGCGCGAACATTCTCCCATGACGCAGTCGTCAGGCTTGGCAAACCAAGAACTAGGCCGGAGCCGCAATCAAGCTGACTGGACGGACAAGGGCCTTCATACAGACACCAAGCTTGCACAAGCTGTCCTTTTTCTTGTCATCATCTTTCTTCCTGTCATCGTCCTGCATTGTTGGAACTCTCTCTGGACATGCAGTCTCCAGGTTTCGCAAATGCTTCACATAGTCAGACAAGAGCAAACCTTGACCACCAGGACTAGCAGACTAGCACGCCCTAGGCAGTTGCAAACTTACACAAGCAGTCCTTCTTTCTGTCATCATCCTTCTTCCTGTCATCGTCCTGCATTGCGCGAGCATTCCCTTGACACAATCGTCAGGCTTGGCAAACGAAGAACTAGTCAGGAGTCACAATCAAGCTGACTGGACGGGAAACGGCCTTCATACGACAGCCTGCACAAACTGTCCTTTTTCTTGTCATCATCTTTCTTCCTGTCGTCGTCCTTCACTGATGGAACTCTCTGTCGACACATGTCTCCAGGTTTCGCAGACGCTTCACATAGTCAGACAAGAGCACAACTTTGACTACCAGGACTATCTAACTAGCATGTCCTAGGCTTTTGCAAACTCGCACAAACTGCCCATGACACAGTCGTCAGGCTTGGCAAACCAAGAACTAGGCCGGAGCCGCAATCAAGCTGACTGGACGGCCAAGGGCCTTCATACAGACACCAAGCTTGCACAAGCTGTCCTTTTTCTTGTCATCATCTTTCTTCCTGTCATCGTCCTGCATTGTTGGAACTCTCTCTGGACATGCAGTCTCCAGGTTTCGCAAACGCTTCACATAGTCAGACAAGAGCAAACCTTGACCACCAGGACTAGCAGACTAGCACGCCCTAGGCAGTTGCAAACTTACACAAGCAGTCCTTCTTTCTGTCATCATCCTTCTTCCTGTCATCGTCCTGCATTGCGCGAGCATTCCCTTGACACAATCGTCAGGCTTGGCAAACGAAGAACTAGTCAGGAGTCACAATCAAGCTGACTGGACGGGAAACGGCCTTCATACGACAGCCTGCACAAACTGTCCTTTTTCTTGTCATCATCTTTCTTCCTGTCGTCGTCCTTCACTGATGGAACTCTCTGTCGACACATGTCTCCAGGTTTCGCAGACGCTTCACATAGTCAGACAAGAGCACAACTTTGACTACCAGGACTATCTAACTAGCATGTCCTAGGCTTTTGCAAACTCGCACAAACTGCCCATGACACAGTCGTCAGGCTTGGCAAACCAAGAACTAGGCCGGAGCCGCAATCAAGCTGACTGGACGGCCAAGGGCCTTCATACAGACACCAAGCTTGCACAAGCTGTCCTTTTTCTTGTCATCATCTTTCTTCCTGTCATCGTCCTGCATTGTTGGAACTCTCTCTGGACATGCAGTCTCCAGGTTTCGCAAACGCTTCACATAGTCAGACAAGAGCAAACCTTGACCACCAGGACTAGCAGACTAGCACGCCCTAGGCAGTTGCAAACTTACACAAGCAGTCCTTCTTTCTGTCATCATCCTTCTTCCTGTCATCGTCCTGCATTGCGCGAGCATTCCCTTGACACAATCGTCAGGCTTGGCAAACGAAGAACTAGTCAGGAGTCACAATCAAGCTGACTGGACGGGAAACGGCCTTCATACGACAGCCTGCACAAACTGTCCTTTTTCTTGTCATCATCTTTCTTCCTGTCGTCGTCCTTCACTGATGGAACTCTCTGTCGACACATGTCTCCAGGTTTCGCAGACGCTTCACATAGTCAGACAAGAGCACAACTTTGACTACCAGGACTATCTAACTAGCATGTCCTAGGCTTTTGCAAACTCGCACAAACTGCCCATGACACAGTCGTCAGGCTTGGCAAACCAAGAACTAGGCCGGAGCCGCAATCAAGCTGACTGGACGGCCAAGGGCCTTCATACAGACACCAAGCTTGCACAAGCTGTCCTTTTTCTTGTCATCATCTTTCTTCCTGTCATCGTCCTGCATTGTTGGAACTCTCTCTGGACATGCAGTCTCCAGGTTTCGCAAACGCTTCACATAGTCAGACAAGAGCAAACCTTGACCACCAGGACTAGCAGACTAGCACGCCCTAGGCAGTTGCAAACTTACACAAGCAGTCCTTCTTTCTGTCATCATCCTTCTTCCTGTCATCGTCCTGCATTGCGCGAGCATTCCCTTGACACAATCGTCAGGCTTGGCAAACGAAGAACTAGTCAGGAGTCACAATCAAGCTGACTGGACGGACAAGGGCCTTCATACAGACAGCCAAGCTTGCACAAGTTGTCCTTTTTCTTGTCATCATCTTTCTTCCTGTCATCGTCCTTCATTGATGCAACTCTCTGTGGACACACGTCTCCAGGTTTCGCAGAAGCTTCACATAGTCAGACAAGATCACAACTTTGACTAGCAGAACTAGCAGACTAGCATGCCCTAGGCTTTTGCAAACTTGCACAAGCAGTCCTTCTTCTTGTCATCATCTTTCTTCCTGTCATCGTCCTGCATTGCGCGGACATTCCCCCATGACACAGTCGTCAGGCTTGGCAAACGAAGAACTAGGCAGGAGTCACAATCAAGCTGAATGGAAGGACAAGGGCCTTCATACAGACTGCCAAGCTTGCACAAGCTGTCCTTTTTCTTGTCATCATCTTTCTTGCGGTCATCGTCCTTCATTTGCATGTCAGGCTGTGCAATAGCTTGAAGCAGTGAGGTGAAAGTACAACCCTGACTGGTACGGCCTCGGCCTTTACACAGGCAGCCAAGTGTGCACAAGCTGTCCCTCTTCTTGTCATCATCTTTCTTCCTGTCATCGTCCTGCATTCATGATCGTTCGTTAGGCCAGGGAGCAAGATGTGCATGCCGGCTTGTGGCAGTTTCGACACCATCAGCATGCACTATCACCACACGCCCCGGCACTGTCCCTCTTCTTGTCGTCATCCCTTCTCTTGTCATCGTCCCGCTTTTTGTCATCGTCCTGGTTGTCGCACAGATGAAAATGAAAGGATGGGAACATTCAGCCAGGTGCAAGCACAAGCTATGGCTCTGTCCCTTCTGTCGTCATCGCCTCGGACCTGTCGGCTCTAAAGCAGGAGGCCAAGGCACAGCAAGGCACAGCAAGGCACGGCAAGGCACGGCAAGGCACGGCAAGGCACATCAGGAGCGACGCTGGCCTTGCAATCGGGGCACTTCTCTTCGTAGCTCTCCAGGACGCTTACGACTTGAGAGAACTTCTGCAGACAGCCCTGGATGCAAGCGGGCTCGCGATTCCCTTTCATCTTGAGGCCGTCGTCGCAGAGCCTCTTGCAGTAGAAGGACTTGCTGCCTTAGAATGGGGCCACACACATGTCTCGGAGGAGTACTGAGCACAGACCCCCGCACAGCGCTAAGTGTTCTAAAGTCCGAGCGGCGGCAGGAGCAGAGGCCTGCAGACAGCTCGCTGCTCTCCGTCTCCACGTCCGGTTGCAGGGCATACGACCGGGACTGCAGGAGGCCAACGTCCTCGTTTACTTCCATGAGCGAAGGGTGCCCGGAGGAGCACAGTCCGCACCTGCAGAATGTCCGAGTGATCTTCCGAGCTTTCGAACCGCAGTCGTCTCGACATCTAGCACCAGCGAAGCCGATGTCGCAAATGGCACCGCAGAACCTCGCAACACACTGCTTGTGTCAACGAACTCATCGCAGAAAAGCTGAAAGCTTGCCCATCGCTTCGCGTTAGACTTTAGTTTGCTGCTATTCGTTTCAGAAACTTGCGAGCCGAAGCACCCTGCATCTTCGCAGATGGAAGCGTTGGCGGGAGCGGAAGTTGATGGGGCCACAAAGCTTGTAGTCGTGACCTCTTCTGTGGTGGTCGCGGCAGCCGTTGTCGTAGTGGTCGTCGTGGTTGTTGTGGTTGTGGTGGTCGTGGTGGTCGTGGTGGTCGTTGTCGTAGTGGTTGTTGTGGTTGTGGTGGTCGTGGTGGTCGTGGTGGTCGTTGTCGTAGTGGTTGTTGTGGTTGTGGTGGTCGTGGTGGTCGTGGTGGTCGTGGTTGTCGTGGTGGTCGTGGTGGTCGTGGTGGTCGTGGTGGTCGTGGTGGTCGTTGTCGTCGTGGTGGTCGTGGTGGTCGTGGTGGTCGTGGTGGTCGTTGTCGTCGTGGTGGTTGTTGTGGTTGTGGTGGTCGTGGTGGTGGTGGTGGTGGTGGTGGTGGTGGTGGTGTTGTTGTGGTGGTCGTGGTGGTCGTGGTTGTTGTGGTGGTCGTAGTGGTCGTGGTGGTGCTGGTGGTGGTGCTGGGGGTGGTGGTGGTCGTCGTGCTGGGCGGGGTCGTGCAAGTATTGCAATACTCCCGGAAGAAGCCACCCAGGCCCGTGCTGTCCAAGAGCGCGTTGGCACACGGACCGAAGCACGCCCTGCGCTTGCCAGGAATCCTGCAGAGGCCTCCCTTGCAAATCTGATTCGCAGTCTTCCCGGAAATGTCACTTGGGCAGAACTTGGATTCGACGGTGCTGATGATGCGGTCGTACCCATCGTCGCTGTTGCAGACGGTAAGGCAGTCGTCAGCTGATGGGAAGACCAGGGGATCGTTGCCGTTCACGGCGCCCTTGCAGTACTCCGCACAGAACCTGAGAGTCGAGTGACCCCCGCAAGACTTTGACGAAGCTTCGCTGCAGAACCTACCGAGCATCGTACAATCGTACACGCGAAGAAAATATTCAGATATGCTACTTTGTGCATAGATCAGCTCTATGAAACTAAGTCGGAACTCAGTCGGTACGTGACGACGACCGTAGGTGGCCAGATGTGGCCAGTAAGAAGCAAGCAGGTACCGCCAGCAAGAAAGCAAGAAGACATTGAGTGAGCAGGTATGCGCAACGACGTGCGGCCAGGCCGGCTAAGCAAGCAAGCATGCGGAGTCCAGGCGTGCTTTGCCACGGATTGGCTGCGGAGCCCCTCTGCCGAACCGAGGTTACAATCAAAGCTCGGCAGTCCCCCCGCTATCAAGCGTCGAGGCACCCGGGTCGTTTGCAGAGATCCGAATCGTCTACGGGCACGGAGTAGCAGTCTTCGCAGTACTCTTCGAGGATGTCGTCAACATCGCCGAAAACGTCTGCACACCTTTCCTGGCATCCGGAGCATCCATCCTGCCAGGAGTTAGGGCTAGGAGTCTTCGATTCGAGGCTTCGAGGCTCGGATCAAGACTTGGACCCATTGAGCCTGAACATTCTGGTCGCACTCGAGGCTCTGGCACAGTAAAGGGCAGTAGTAACTGGACTCGCCTCGGTGAGAAGAGGCTGTGGCTGTGGCCTAGGCCTAGGACCTGAGCTCTGCTTGCAGGCTGAGGCTTAGGCTGCACTCCTGGCCCTGGCAGGAATCCTTGAAGTCGCAGAAGCCCCGCAACCCGGGGGCCACCTTCGACTCGAAGAGGGGCTTGCAGAGGCTCTGGCAAGCGCTAGCCTCAGCGTGGGGCAGAAGGCGGCACTGCGGCACCAAGTCAGCCAAACCCTTAAAGGCACCGACGCCGATGGAGGGGAACACGAGGTTGTCGCCGCAGATGGATTCACAGAACCTGGGCCCAGGCATTGAGGCATTGTGGGAGGGGCTGATAGCTGCATTTAGCTGCCGGCGAGGGGCCCTCCAGAGGAGCAGAGCTTCCGGCCGGAGGGAGGAAGAATCGGATCTTGCTCGCAGGCGTTCTCGGAGATGGCCTTCTTGTCATCGAGCGTGGCGGTGTCTGGGAGGGAGCAGATGTCCAGGATGCAAGACCGGAGCCGCTGGTCTTGCTCGGTCACAGGCTTGTCACTGTACTCGGCGTTCGGAAGGCAAACTTTGCAGAGGTCCTTGGCCTCGTTGAAGGGCTCAGCACCCCCGCAGACGCGCTCCGGTGGAGGGCCAGGGAACGGGTCGTCCGGAGAAGGCTTGTCGCAAATGCAGAGCATGTCGCTGAGCTTTGCACGATGGTCGCAGGTGGCTCCGTGCTTCTCGAATATGTCAACCGGATCCAACATGCAGCTTGTGCGGGCAATCTGGTCCCACACAGCCACGCACTTCGAGCCGATGTCCTCGCAGTACTCTTTGCAATTGTTGCTTCCACCGCGTCCTTTCGTCTTGACATACGCCATACAATACTCTCCGTTGTTGGTGAGCTCGAGGTACTTGGTGAGGTTGTCCGCATCCGGAGCATCCCCGTCTTGCGGGAGCATGTCCTTCGTGCACTCGAAGCTGTTGAGGTTCGTGGACTGGCTCATGAACTCGCAGCCGGGACCTCTGAGGAGAAAAAGACAGCGTAAGCAGCCTTAGGAGCCTTAGGAGCCTCAGGAGCCTTTCCGCCGGGATGCTGCTCGTGTCGGAGCCAGGACAACCAAGTGGGGCCGGCGCGTTTGGCTCCGTGCAGGCACCGCACATCTCAGCCAGCTGCTCCTCCGTGAACAGCACGTCGGCATCATCGTGGGAGACGAGCCTGAAAGCGGCGCTCAGCGCTCGGCTGGGCATGGCAGAAGAAGGTTGAGAGGCCGGGATTGTTCCGAGATACTGATCGCGCAAGTCGGATGAACCACAGATGCCATCCTCTCAGATGCGGGCTACGACTGGCTATAACCCTTGCCCTACGAGCACCATGCCTGTCGGCTGTTAGCGTAGCAGTGCGTGGGCTTGCTCTCCACTCGAAGAGCAGACGGGTCCTTTTCAACGGCATGCTTGAACACGCGGAGCTTCACATTGTGGTACCAGCCTTGAGTTGCATAAGTCTGCGCACTCCCCGCTATTGCCACATCCCCCTGCACTGAGCACGGAACGCGAGCCGCCATCCAGAGGCTTTACGTTCACGTTCATTCGGAAGCACTTGTCCGGGCTCTGAATGTTGATGCCGGCAGTTTGGAGGCTGAAAGAAGGATCATCCACCAAACCCAGACCGCTGCCACCTGTCAGGCGGCTAAGGCGAAGGCTAAGCTTCGCTTGTGCCGTGGGATTCCCCATCCCCTCATCCCCTTCCCTTGCCTACATTGGTGTTATTGACGTAAATGATCTTGTCGCCGATCTGGATGGCCAGGTAACGCGTGATGCTGTTGCTCCAGAGCTGCGGAGTATATCGGCACGTAAAGGCGTTGACCTGGAATTTGTATCCGCAGGCACTGGACACGGACGCCTTCCACAGGCCGAGGCCCTGAAAGTCGAAGGAGCCCAAATCGCCGTAGCTGGAGGTGATGTGGGGGTCACCCCAGAAGTTGCACTGCGCGAACTTCTCGTCGTTCCAGTCCTCAATGTCGCAGCCCGAACAGCTCGACGACGAGTTGGAGGCCTCGCCCGGATGGACGGCCAAGGCCAGAAACAGACCCAGGGCGCTCCGCAGGCCCCCGGCCACGCTCCGCATGGCCATGGCGCGTGGAGGATGGCTTCGGAACTTCGAGTGGCCCCTCTGAGCCTGGAAACTCTTCAAGCCAAGCCGCCAGCTCTCGAAGTTTTGGAGTACTGCGAAAGCCCGAGACATCTGAAACCGCAGATCCTGAAGGCCGGAAGTCCCGCTGCAGGCTCGGCCGGTGGACATTTTTAAGCACGTGGCCGAGGCAAGCGTTGCTCCCAACCACACGAAAGGACTCCGAGCACGACAAGCAATCTGCTGACATTGTGCGAATCGGCGCCATGCACGAACGGGCTTGCCGAAAGCAGGGCGACGATCGTATTGTTCGTCGTCTGCAATGGTGAAGCTCCGCCGTGCCAAAATCCTGGATGGAAATCCCCAAAAATTGTAGCCTCTGCCGTCGCCTTTTTAAGGAAACAACTTGGACTGCGAGCAATGGAACTGAACACCTGGGGCAGCTCAACTTGCAGCTTCAGGCTCTCTTCTCTCCCAACCTTCTGCCCCGGTAACCTTCCACAGCTCTCACTCCATGCGAAGCTACCTATGCCAAAATACAAACTTGTCTAACTTCTTTTAAAAGGCCACAGATCTTTGTGGCTGCTGCGCGAGGCATGGCGCGCCCGGCCCCGCGACCCAATCGGCTCTTCAAAGCAATGCCTTGCTGCAACAGAATCTTCAATTAGCCGGGGCCAGGCACGTGCTTCACTCGGAGCTCAGGAACTGGGCTGCCTTCAGCCAGGTGCCTGCATGGGCTGCTATGGGCTGAGGATGCCCGGCTCCGAATGGCCGTGATGTGCTAGACATGCTGCGGTTGCACACCGTGGTAGGCCGCAGGCCTCTGAAGCCGGATCCTCAGTCTGATCGGTCCTGGCGTCCAAGCCATAGCCGCTGCAGAAGACTTTGCAAGACCCGCGGCTACCCGCTTTTGGGATGCACATTGGTTCGCATCCCCGGCAAGAACTTTGCCAGTCCTTGCGCCGTCTTCGCAGTCCATCATCACCATCCTCAACCGTAGGAGAGCAATCTACTGGGAGAGAAGACACGACCGGTACATGTGATGATGCTGTGCAGTCCTTGCGCCTGCGCCCTCCGTCGTCCTAGCCGACAGGATGCAACCGGCACGGAGTGACGGTAGTAGCATCAAAACTGTTTGTTGCAACGAGAAGGCGTGCGCGCGCACACACAGACGCACGCCGCGAACCTTGCAACTCTTAGACCGGTCTTGAAGTTGTGGATGAGATGAACAACCGCACACCCGCGGGTCCGCTGGCCGTAGTAAACCGTTGTAGGCAGCCGCGGGAGTAGCTAACTGCGAAGTATAAATGTCAAACGCTTGTCGCTGCGAATCCTTCCGAACCGGTCGTCTTCGAGATGAAGACTCGTCAGACGTCAGATGGTTAACCGTGAGTTCTGTGCTCGAGCGCTTACGAAACGGGTTCGTTGTACGGCATTGAACGCTTACGCTGCGGAAACAATGCTGTCGCTGCTGCTGACTCTGTTGGCGCGTGAGGGCTGCAAACGGTCGATGCACGCAGCTTCGTGCAGGAGCTACACTGCCAGCTGGAATCGTCAGATGCGTCCTTGCGTCGTCTTCCCAACCAGCTGTCATCGTCCTGAACGGTACTTCCGTCAAAAGTCGCGGAAACTCACCTAAGCACATCCACTACACGCTACTATTCATGCAAATCCCAGTCCTTTCGCCTGCGCGATGCATCGTCGTCCTAGTCGCATATGCAGTGTCGTCACGATTGCCGGTACAAAGCGAGAAACGCCGCTCAAAAGCCTCGCAAAATAAATAAATAAAAACATCCGTGATGTACCCCCTAGTGACTCTAGTGTTGCGGCTGCGAGATTCAAAAGGCAGTCCTTGCGCCTGCGCGATGCATCATCATCCTGCTGACAAAGCGTGGCCAGCCGTTCTCGTGTCACTGCCACCGACTGCTTCGAAGAACAACACAAACTTGGCGGCACTCTGCACTGACGAGCAGTGACTAGCACAGTCCGAGACATCCAAGGCATGTTGAGGAAGCAACTCTTCATATGAAGCGGCCGCCCAACTTCGAAACGAAGACTACATCACAGGTTGCACAAGCTCCAGTCCTTGGGCCAGCGCCATCCGTCATCGTCCTGGTCGACAGGGTGCAACGAACACGGAACGATGTCTGAATAGCATCGAACTGTTGCAACGAGAACGCACACGCCTGCCGCGAGCCTGAAAACTCTTGACCGATTCTTCAGGTCGTGGCAATATCCACAACAACTCGAAAATGCATATTACTGTGCAGCAGACAGCGATGCACACAGCGAAAGAAAACTGTCAGATGCCCGTCCCTGCATACCCTTGCGAACCAGATGTCATCGTCCCTCCCGATACAGGATGGAAATGCTGCGGAAGTTCCCCTAGTGTACTGTAGCCGCTTTCGGTTCGAAAGCCAGTCACACCAAATTTCACGAAAGCTCCAGTCCTTGCGCCTGCGCGAGGCATCATCGTCCTGCTGACAAAGTGTGGCCAGCCGTTCTTGCGTCACTGCGACCGACTACGTGATGTAGCACCCCAAACCGTTGTTGTAGCGGCTGAAGGCAAACACGTGTCTGGAACGTGGTCAGTGGCCCTGAAATACTCTGTTTTTTGTTCCCCTGCGTCCCCTCTATGGCGTACATTCATCTGGGAATCCCAGTCGGAATTTATTGGTGTCCCCGGTGACCTATCGTCTTGGTGTCGGGGTGCGTTGGCTATCCTGATCCTCCTGATCCACTCCCACGGTGTCTCGGCGTGGTCGTGTCCCAGTGCATTGGTCTTCCACTTTTCTCGCACTGCGTCTCGCTGTCGCCCCGGTCCTCGCATGCCATGCGGATTACAAGGTCACCCACGTTGTTCAGAGATACTGTGGCGTTGGTGCTTTGCTGTCCCTGGCGTCGGTGTCCTGTGAGTGCTGTCGAAAGCGCTCCCATGTCTCTGTCTCAGAGAAACACTTCTCGTGGTGTCTGGGCTCGCTGTGTGGTCTGGGTGCCCGTGTGTTCCCTTCTCCCCTTGTTCCAACGCTGCACTACATCTACATCTTCGAAACGAAGAACCTTCAGCAAATTAATTGAATTTTGAATTCGTGCGCTTACGAAACGGGTTCGTTGTACGGCATTGAACCGCGTACGCTGCGGAAACAATGCTGTTGCTGTTGCCGTCTCTCTCAGCATCACGCAGCAGCTACACTGCCAGCTGGAATCGTCAGATGCATCCTTGCGTCGTCTTCCCAACCAGCTGTCGTCGTCCTGAACGGTACGTACGGGAAGGGACACGTCGCAGAAACTCACAGAAGCACATCCACGACACGCTATTCATTCATGCAATGTCCAGTCCTTTCGCCTGCGCGATGCATCATCGTCCTAGTGGCACATGATCTCCAGGAACATGTCGTGAAGATTGTGGCCAACAAGCACTACACCTTCCTGCGCAACTTATCAGTTGCCTGAGAGCAGAAATCCAGCATCAGACAGCACTTGCCACTGAAAAGAAACACCACATAGCGCACACGCGAAGGTCCTTCCGACGGCGACCACCATCGTCGTCATCGCCCTCATTCAACTTTCCAAAAAATCCAAAGAACAAGCTGCACCGACAAATGGATCAACAACGGCTCCAGTCCTTGCGCCTCCGCGATCCATCATCGTCCTCGTCAAATGAACGTGCACTCGACACAACTATCTCGGAACAAAGTCAGCAGCAAAATGCCATTGTCAGCGTTTCATCACGTGCACATTTCACATCCACCCATGCTCGCGCAGCCTCAACTCACCCAAACCAGCTTTTCAGTACGGTCCTTGCGTCTGCGTCCGCCATCGTCGTCCTGATCAATCCACTTATGGAGGTAATCATCACGGGCGAACCCCGGAATATGCCAACAATCTGGAAGATACCAGAACAACCGTATGGTTGTAGTCCTTGCGCCGGCGCACTCCATCATCGTCCTGCTGGTTTCGAGACCCCAGTTTGCATAGCTGCAATATCACCAAAGCGAAGCGGCAAAACCCGATGGCACGGGGTGCAACAGGCACAAGCAGCAGGAACATGATGGCAGCAGCAACACCACGGCACAACCCAAAAGCCGGCACACTATCTTTCGTAGTAGAGCACCCGCAATGTCATCTCATAGAGAGGCACGCGTCCGCCATCATCCTCATCGCCCTCAGCCATGCGTTTGGTCGTGTTTCCAAAACCAGGCAGCTGCACCCGTCCAGTCCTTGCGCCTCCGCGATGCATCATCGTCCTCGCCATGTTTGATTGGCACACGGCAGACCTACCTCCGACCCAGTTCAACAGCGAAGTACGAATGTCAGCACTCTCACGCAATTCGTGCACAACCACCCAAGCACAATACCCCAACTTACCAGAGGTGAAGTCGGCTACTAGCAGCCAGCTTGGCTGCATCACAGCACTTCCACAGCAAAGACATGAGCATGCTCCAAAGCCTTGGAAGACTTCATGTCATTGTGACAGTCCTTCCGACGGCGACCGCCATCGTCGTCATCGCCCTCATCCATGCGTTTGGTCGTGTTTCTAAAACCAGGCAGCTGCACCCGCAAACAGCGCAACAACAGCTCCAGTCCTTGCGCCTCCGCGATCCATCATCGTCCTCGTCATGTTTGATTGGCACACGACAGACCTACCTCCGACCCAGTTCAACAGCGAAGTACAAATGTCAGCACTCTCACGCAATTCGTGCACAACCACCCGAGCACAATACCCCAACTTACCAGAAGTCGGCTACTAGCAGCCAGCTTGGCCGCATCACAGCACTTCCACAGCAAAGACATGAGCATGCTCCAAAGCCTTGGAAGACTTCATGTCATTGTGACAGTCCTTCCGACGGCGACCGCCATCGTCGTCATCGCCCTCATCCATGCGTTTGGTCGTGTTTCTAAAACCAGGCAGCTGCACAGGCAAACAGCTCAACAACAGCTCCAGTCCTTGCGCCTCCGCGATCCATCATCGTCCTCGTCACAATTGATGGGCCATACCTTCG